AATCTTGTCCCCTTGCAGGATTAACATCAACTGTTATCTTAAGCACACTATTGTAAATACAGAGACAGAATCATAGTTTGAACTTCTGAATGTTTTAACCGAGTGTGTGTGTGTGTGTGTGTGTGTGTGTGTGTGTGTGTGTGTGTGTGTACAGGAGGGGTAACGTTGCTACTGGAACATAACCCCTACAATGAGCAACGTACAATCTCAGGAAATTAGACAGGAGGGGAACAAGAGAAGGCTGAGGGGTCTGTGCCTCTCACTTGGGGCTCATGGTTTTTCCAAAGGGGAAAGATGTTACATTCCTTATATTTCTCTTGTATAAATAAATGTGCTAAGACACAGACCAGCCCCACCTTCCATTTTGTTGTAAAGTACATATATGAACAACAGACATATTGTTTTGAGAGTTTCAACTAAGAAAAAAAGAGTTCAGGAGGCAACAAAGGATGAGACCTAAAGAGGCCAGGCCTTCTGGAGGTACAGGTGACCATCAGGCCTCCCAAGAGCAACATGGTGACAATATTAGAGTGATGGTCTTTCCAAGAGCTCTTTTCTGAACAATTTTATCATATGTTCACTGAAATTATGATCTTTTATTTCTCTTTTGAAAGCTTTAATTAAAAGAGCAGTGTTATCAAATACTTCATTGTTAAAAATTTGTAGCTGAAACTAAAGGAAAAATGTTCTGTGGGTCAGGGCAAAATATTGTGCATCAATACAAAGCATTGAACTAGGATCTGCCCCAAATCAGGTTTCTGGCAGACATCTGTTATATGGCCTGTCATTGGGCCCTTCCACCGTGGAGATGAAGCATCATACTTTGTCATAGGTCAGAAGCATTTCTATGGGTCTGATTGTCACCAAGTGAAGCACTAAGAGGCAGCGGGTGCCTAGCCCTCAGGAGTCTGTTGGGCACAAGTTCCCAAGACATTCCTGAGATGAAGTCTCATTCAATCCCCACTTGAATGACAAGACTGAGAGAATCCTAAAACAGTGAGTAAAAGTCAAACTCTAGAGATTATAGTGGAGAGCCATGGTATCTTCCTTGATCTTCATAACTGAGTACACTGGGTAGCAAATCATTGAGACACAGAAGTGTTCCAAGTCTTATGAGCTCTTCCAAATATGCCCTCACCTACATCCCAGGGTCTTCATCTGACTTTTCACAAGTCCTAGAGATACCACTTGGCACACACGTTAGTAAGGCTCAGAGGTAAGAGCTTGTAGGGCAAGGCCGTCAGTAGTACTGGCCTGACATGGCCTCAGAACAGCTCTAGAGCTGGGGGAGGATGCTCAAAATCACTGTTGTTTTGATGAACAACTGGCAAGAGAAACAGTAACAACATGGAATTTATTTGGGAACTGTGTGGACCGCAGCAGATTTAGCCTATGGGGCACTGTCAAAGAATGAGGTAAAGTAGCTTCTGATGCAAGGATGGTAGGCAGGGAGTAGAGCTTGAGAAGCATTTATGTATGGCTCAGAGTCTAGCCCCTGAGTAGGAATGTAATGATAGGTCTACACTGTGAGAAGTGGGTTCTGACCATGGCACAGGTAACCATTACACACATGACCATGATGACCTGATACACTAGCCTGGAGGCACAGACATCCTCCATGTTCTCAATGGATGAGACACTTTAGACTTTGGGGTGAGAGGGATCCTTTCCTTTCTGGTGTCTCCTTAATTCTCCCCTTTCTATCCTGCTTCAGTGAGGACTTCTAGCCACCTGATGAAAGTGAGACAATGATCAACCCTTCCAGCCCTTGGCAAAAACTTCTTAATTATGAAAAGCACTTGCCATTCTTTCATCAGTATCCCTTTATTTAAACCTAAGGCTCATGTCATCTTAGCCCATGTCTCTCCTTCTCTCTTTCTTGCTTTCTCTTTGAAACTATATTTCTCCTCCTATTTATTCTCTTTGTCCTGCTAGCCCCACCTAACCTTTCTCTGCCTAGCTATTGGCGGTTTGGCCCTTTATTAGCCCAATCAGGTGCCTTAATCAGGCAAAGTGAAACAGATGCAACATATCTATTTTTACATAATTAAACACACATCCTTACTTCATCAAACAAATGCAGCATTAACAAAAGTAACACACCTTTTCACAGTTAAAGTAATATTCTTCAGCATAAACAATGTAACAGGCTTTGCTGGGTTCAACAAACATTCCACAGCCGTGTGTAATTTAAATAAGGAATATGGGTGAAAACACTGGTGACGTTAAACCATGTCCTGGGTTGAGCAGTGTCACCGGAAGGTATGAGGAAGTGCTAGCCAGGACATATAAGGATGAAATGTAGCCTAATCACAGTTTTTACAGGTGGGATTATGCTTAGATGAAATTGTGGGAGGCTGGGCTGGGCCCAAACCCAAAGAGAAAATTTGGAGGGAAGACAGCCTCTGAAAGCTAAACACCTTTGGAGTGCTGCAACAGTAGGGTTGAGAGATCAGTAGAGTGTAGAACGGAGGTCTCTGTCCCACCTGGTCCCATAGCCATTCAGTTCCAAATAAACACATAGAGGCTTATATTAATTACAAACTGCTTGGCCGATGGCTATGGCTTCTTATTGGCTAGTTCTCTCTTAATTATTAACCCATTACTATTAGACTATGTATTGCCATGAGGCTATTGCTTACCTGTAATGCTTTGGGACATTACTCCTTCAACAGCTACATGGCATCTCCCTGGCAACTCACTCTCTGCCTTCCTCTTCCCAGCATTCTCCTAGTCTGGTAGCCACGCCTATACTTCCTGCCTGGCTACTTGCCAATTAGCGTCTTATTAAACCAATATGAGAAACATATACACAGCATACAGAAGGACATCCCCCATCAGTAGAGTGTACAAGGGCTCTCAGGAGCTGGACCCATTTATCAGCTTGGAACACTGACCTCCAGGAAACGAGGAACCCTCCTTTCCCTCCAAATTTCCACCAGTGTTGCTGGTACCTTGTTAGAGGAACCCAGGGAACCAACACAGCAAATGAAGATGTTGAAAATGTAAGAGTGAGCAGCCAGGAAAGTCGGTAAAGGTCTAGATGGCTGCAAGACACCATGACACCTGAAACACAGGGCTAGGGAACATACTGAACAGTGCCGAGAAAAGAAGAAATGTGGACAGGAAATCGGGAACCTTCTTGGTTGGAGATTCTATAGGACCAGACCACAAAAGAGTCGAGGGGTCTCAAGAGCAGTGGACACCTGTGAAATGTACGAGCAAGGCACTGTAAAAACATCTTGTCTGTGCTAAAATCTCTAGCTGTGGTGTAAAGAACTGTCTGTGGGACAGAAGCCTGGGACAGTGCACAGTGCAGAGATAGAAAAGAGATGTAATCAGACAGGGAAATCTGTAGATTTCAGGTCTCTAGAAACAAAGGAAGGACTGCCTGTGGGGGAGTTTGGTCTGGGTCCTTCAGGAGGCAAGTGGGGGAAGCAATGCAGACAGCTTAACAGCATGCAGCTTATGGCAGGGTTCCACAGCCTAGGAATTCAGTCGCATGTTATAACAGCGCTGCTTTTAATTCTTCCATTGCAAAATTATCTCAAGGCTGGGCCCCATCATGCTGGGCAAAGCAACTACAGTTAGTCTTTTATTTCACGTCTTCACTGAAGTCAGTCCAAAAAACATCAGGAATAGCTAGCTCTCAGACCCACAAGAAAACTCCAGCCCACACATCAACTCCTAGGCAAATGACAGTAAAGCTGAATGGGGATGACCCTTGTCCTGGCAGAGTGGCAACACTTAAGTGTTCTCTTAAAGCAGAACTTTAGGTCACATTCGGAGGACCTAGAGACTTTCCCTCCTTCTCCCCCTCCTCCTCCCCTTTTTCCCCTTTCTTCCTTCCCTTATCTTTGGTGAAGACAGATGGGGGACATGTATCTGAGAAACAGAGAGTAGCCCACGTCTGAAAAGGACAGATGAGGCAACAATGACAATGACATTCCGGGTCAGCCTCTGAGAAAGAGGAGGAAGACTTAAGGTGGGCAGTTGCTAAACAGGTGAAGGATATGGGACCACTTTATCAGAGCCCATTCCACAGCCAGGCGAAGGAGATAGGCTGTCGCTGTCACAGTGTTCAGACCCACTAGTCTCACACCATTAAGTGAAGAGCAAACAAGGTGCATGCATTTGTGCATGTACATTTGTTGTGGCACATAAGGGTTAATTAACTCTTCTGAGTCCTCATTGTTTGCACAGGCAATTAGGAGAACTTCACACATGAGCTAAGTGTACTCAACAGTCTTACAAACGTTAAACAATCCATTGTCAGTCCATGTCAATGGACTGTCCCTTCTCCAATAACATGTGTAACAGGAAGATAGCTCAATCTATCCAGGGTTTGTGGGACCTGACTATCTGACCTGGGTTTTTAAGGTACCAATGCTATGTCGTCCACTACTGTGGACTCTTGTGAGGTAAGTCAGTCAGCTCATTCCGGTTCTGTGAGGAGCACAGACACAGTACCGAGCCTGGGTCTGTGGGTGAGACAGACAGGACATCGTGTTCTTTTGGGTATGTGAAGCAAGGAAGCCGATCTGTACCGTGGACGTTGCATCCGTCCGCGGTCCACGACGTGGATGCTGAGCTCATCCCGATTCGGTGGGACTCTCTGAGGAGCACACTGTCTTTATCACGAGTTTGTGTGGAGGTTGCCGTGTCCTTTCCAGGTGTGTGGTGCAGACTCCGAGATGATCCTGCTACTGTGGGGCCAACGCTGTTTTCACCCCAGGACTGTGAAGAGAACATCAGGTCCAACCCAGGTCTGCAAAGAGCATGCTCCTTCGCAAATTCATTCCTGGACTGTGGCGCAGGGTGCTGTCCAAGCCTGACAAACTGGCCCCAACCTCTGGCTGTGTCTGTGGAACCAAACACCCTCAGCTTTCTGAGGACGGCAAGCACTTTTTACACTGCTTACAGAAACCCATTAATGTAAGAATGAAAGTTGGACCTCTTAAAAGAAAAAAAAAAAAATTCTCGCGAGAAGAGCTAAATGTCAGGTTCGTACCCGTAGATCTCGCGAGAAGACTAGGCGACTTTCCCGGCTGCCGGAAGCCGTGGAGTTCTCCAGGTTGTCTGTAACCTCGGCGTGATGCCCTCCCCGTTCTCGGTCAGAGCCTTCCCGGTCAGCATCCCCGCGGTGATCATGGTAACTCGCAGACCCTGGAGACTGGGAGGCGCTGGCACGCGCTGGGGATGCTTTAGTTCTTTTGTGGACAGCGCGGGCAGGCTGTATCCTGGAGTCGCGCTGTGGCTCTGCTGGATGGGGCAGACCCCGGGTGCGCGCAAGCAGGCGGTCCTCTGGGTCCCCACCCTGGTGGGGTCTTGGCAGCGGCAGCGTACATTGCTTTCCCTACCGGGCTCTTGCATGTGCTGTCTTTCCGGTGTGACACTGAAGACACAAACAGTGCCCAGTTAAGGGCAATGGACTCCAAGCAGTCCTGAAGAGAAGTTTGGGCTCCACACTCCGGAGCTAGTCTTGCCTTGTGGATCAGATAAGAGCACTGGGGAAGTGCTGAGAAATTTGGACTGTGTATCTGGTGAGGACAGTCAGAAAGGTTTGAGCCTTGGGGGTATGGACACTGGTCATCTGTAAGGCCCCAAAGAACTATCTTTGTACATTGCAGAAGTAAGTGCTGGGGGACAGCCAGTCCTGCATGTTAGGATGGCTTCCATTTCCAGGCCTCGATAAGATGAGCTTCCTTTAAGCAGCTTCACATGCTGCAAATGCATCTCCTTAATTAGGTCAGCTTGACTTCAGATGATAATAACCCCTTAGATTTCACCCAGCTTGAAAAGAATTGTATTCACCAATAAAAAGAGGTAAAGGTGCTCAAACTTTAAAATCTTTATGTAAAATTCCTGAATGTGTTTGCAACTATCGTTTCCTCCCTTTTTTGTTTTTCTTCTTGTTCCCACTTGTCTCTGAGGCTTAGCTGTGTGATCCCAAAACTCAGGGGAAGTGGGTAATTCCCGTTACCCACAGTACACACACAAGTTTCTAACAGTGTATCCTCACAGGAGACAGACTGGACAGAACCATGGCTCCTAGGGCTTGTCGTCTTCCACCTGATGTGCCTACTTCTCACGTGCTTCTCATCACAGAGGTATAAACTACAGATTGGACACTTCCTGTGCCTAGGTGAGTAGTAGAAAACTGAATCCCTGTGCTTTGACTGTTGGGATATTGCCCTGGATTTGTTTGTATTATGTTTTCACAGGGTTTCCCAAGCCTTCCATTCTGTATGGAAATCATGAAGTAATCTTTGGACATTGACCTTGAAAGGGGTCTTCCTTTTGCTTCAGGCTGACCAGGAGGGATGTGCAACGTCAGCTGTACTGAGATATTGATTCTGTTATGCTGACTCTTACACAGATAATTTCCTGCTTGAGTTTATTCCTAGATGGCATATCTTTCATGCAGATGTTTTCCTGCCAGGCCTAGTTCTACACTGCATGTTCTGGAAATTAGACTACAAATTAAGAGACATTTTCTACATAAAATACTGTTTTAGATCAGTTTTATAGATAATGGCTTTAGAAATTGTGGGAAGAGATTAGGTATACAGAATGGAGAAAGGTTACACACAAACAGACACAAAATAAAAACCATGGTACTTGGCCAAATGTGGACAATCAATATATTAGGCCCTTCTTCAGTCAGGTCAAAATGATACTTAATACAATGTCAGTAAGAAAATATGAGTAATAGCTGGCTGGCCCAGGCATGAGGTCTGCCCCAAATGCAGACAAGTGGGCAGAGCCCCTAAAATATAAGGTGGAAGATGGGTAGGAAGCTAGATCATGGGTAAGACACCACAGTCCACAGGAGCTAAGTGTGCTAATGCTGATAATTTCAGGTTTAAATACTTGACTTTTGTGGACACTGGAAGAAGATTTTGCTTGGTAAATGGGAAAGGTGATTTTAGACAAGTCTGATCAGTTTACTGTAAGAGGTAGGACATAATCTTAGAAAAATAAGTGAAGTGATGAGCATTCACATTGCATTGACCATTCTTCATTTGAAATTCTTTCCCTAGAAATGTTAGGGTTAACAGTACTGAGCAAAATAGGCCTCTAAGCTTTTAACTTCCTTGGGGACCCCCACATTCAGTAGATACCTGTAGATGTATTATAATTTGCAATAATGAGCATTGTGATGAGAACTGAACTGAGGGGTGCAGTGAAATGTGCTGAGGGGCTGGTACAAATTTCTGCAGTCCGTGTCGAGGCACACAAGTATGAGCACACAAGAGGGCTGGCATGCTAACTTTGTGTAGAGGTCTTGAGGGAAGTGCCTGGAAAGGAGAAATGATTTTCTAAGTTTAAGAACTATGTATGATGCCTTCCAGGAGGGATCATCAAAATCTGTCGTTTGAAGTAGGGACTGGGCTGGGATGGGAGGGAGTCGGGAAGAATGGGAGGGAGGGAGAGGGAACTGGGATCGATATGCAAAATAAGAAAAATTATAAATATACACACATACACACACACATATATATTTAAAAGAACAGTATATGTGCCTGAAATTTTGAAGAGGGATAACCACAGGCATTCTTAAGAAACTACAGACACTATGCTTTATGCTTTGTATGCTTTATGGCTCATTAAAATCTCAGACAGCATGAAAACATCTGAGTTAACTTCCTTCATTTCCACAAATGCTGAGACTCTGATACTGAGCTTTCTACCTGGATTACAGCAGTCAGTCTGTGCAGAACAGCTTCACTTCACGGGTGTTTCACTAAGACCCTTGGCATCTCACACACATGTCGATCTTCTGATTCCTATTAAATGGGCGTATTATAACTTCACCATTTTATAGCTCTTAATACATCAAATGGAAATTGCATTTCTTGGCATTTTTTTTTCGGTATTCCGTTGCTATATGTAAAAATGTATTGTCTTGTTCTGTAATTATTGTGATTGGCTGTGTGATTCTGATATGATTTCTCTCTTTTCTTAGTATTGTTAGTCTATTGTGCGGAGTATATTAATGAAGTGGCTGCAATGAATTGGAGGTAAAGTCACTTTTCATGCTCTTGACTGTGTCTTAGGAGTTTCCCTCTGCGGTATTGCCATGTGGAACTTTGTAAATAAAACATGAAATTTCTAGGGAAATTGAAGATGTCAGAAATATTGAGCACCTTGTACATATAGGCTTAGGCCTTAAGAAAAGCAATTAAATACTTTTGTTGTTGTTAATAGAAGACTAATAATTTTTATTAATAAAATAAGTAATCCAAAGCTCCTCCTTGAAGCTCTGTGTTATTAAACAAAAATCTCAGTGCCACTTTTGGGATAACTCCTTAAGGTCATGGAGGCCTCAGAGGCTTACAAAATAGATATTTCAAGAATGGCATAACCATGTTGACTGTACCACCTGAGCTGTTAAGGTGCTGGCCAATAAAGTACAATCTGTGAGAAAATATTAGAAGTATTATAAAGTATTTTGAGTTTCGAAATACAAAGGTGGGAGTTTTAGAAGGTATTGAGTAGTAGCGGTTGTTACTGCAGGAGTGGGCTTCAGAGACCTTTCCCCTGCTCACTCCCCTTTCCTCTTGGAAACTTCCTCCCAATACCTGGACAGTGCCAGAGCCTCCACAGTCTTTTCCCTGCTTTTCCAGCCCCAACCCTGGACCTAAGTTGTCTTAACTGATTCTCCTGTCTCAGTGCAGATCACTCCAAACATCCCAAAGTATCCCTAATCACTCAGAGAAGGGCACAGAACTGTTCTGATGCCCATGGCCCCTGCTGCAACCCTTCCTGCTGGGCCCATGGCCACCTCAAATTTGTGTTGATCACATTTCCAGGTCAGAGGCTAAACTTGACCTCTCCCCACCCATAGATTCCCATGTTCCCTGCTTTGTTTCTTTAAGTCAGACTGGCACTCTACCTGAGCTCCTCCTTCTCTCCAGAAGGTAGGCTTCCTTTAAGAGTAAATCTGTCCTTACTATTCCTTGCTGTAGCCCAGAGCTCATGTAGCAGGTTCTCAGTCATTGTTGCCCAGTCAGTGAAAACAGCTATGTGGCGTAATTCCACATTACCAAGAGAGAAATCCCCATAGACAGCTCCTACCTTCTGCTGCCTGGCTCTTTACCCCTGGGCAAGTTGGAATGATGCAGTCTTCAAGTCTCTTACACAGAAAGGCAGTACTTTACTAAGGTAGCTAACAGCAGGAAGTATTAGACACAGTACGTTCTTAAGTAGCTGTAGCAGGAATACAGCCCTTTCTGATTTATGAAAAGCATTAGAGCTGTTTCTGTGCAGTTTTGAGAATTTAAGTCATTGTGTCACAATTGCTGTGAACTTGGATGCTTAACTGCTGTTCTTCTGTCACCTCTCCGGACTGAAAGTCCAATAATTATTTTCTTGTGTTTGTTTGTTTTTTCTAAAACAGATTGTTTGCAAAATATCAGTATTTTGATTCCCGGGGAATGTTCATTTCTATTGTGTTCTCGGCACCATTGCTGTTCAATGCAATGGTCATTGTGGTATGTATGGTACAGACTTTGTTTGTCCTGGATTTCTTCAGTCATACGCTTTCCAGTTTTAATTGTGACTCCAAATGATTTTAGATTATGTGGGTACAGAAGACTTTGAATGTGATGTCTGACCTGAAGAGGATGCAAGAAAAGAGAAAGGAGAGGAAAAGGAGAAGAAAAGAAGAATAACGCCTAGCTGTTGCCGTGGACCTTGTTTTTCCTCTGGCTTGGTTGTTTCCAGATATAAGCTGCACATGGCCCAGATGTTCCTTTGTCAGCATACTCGTGGTTTGGAAATGGAGCCCTCGATAAAGTTTCTTAAAAGAACTAACATTGTCACCTGGATGCATGTTGAATGTGAACACACATTTGCATGGTGGGAGCTTTCTGGTTCAGCCATGGGAAGAGTCTTACCCAGCTTTTCAGTTTGCTGGTATACCTCGTTATACTAGGGTTCACTCAATTTTGAGTGTGGACACTGAGAAATAAACAGCACCACCACGTTGTGGCACCACTACCTGCTTACTCTTCTGCTTCTAGCCTGTAGTCGTCGTTCTCAGTTAAGGGCAGTTTTGTTCCCCCAGAGAATTCGGTGACATTTGTCACCACATACGGGCATGGTACTTGTATCTATTGGGCAGAGACTAGGATGCTGAAATCCTGCAGGGCATAGAACACCCCCACCATGGAGTATTGTTCTATATATAATGTCACCAGTACCCATGCTGAGGGACCTGTGGGGCAGGTCTGGAAAAGAATGCAGTGTATCAGTTCCCATGAAGCCAAGCCTCTAAAGAATTGAGTTGGGACTATGCCACTGAAAATGTTTTGTTTAAAAATATTAAGCTAGAATGGATGCTGTAAAGTCAAGACTCTATGGAAAATAGTATGTCAAATGAACTGTTTGGTTTTGTTTTTTCTGGGCACAAGATTATAAATACTTGCATACTCGGTGAATGACTTCGCTATCTCTACACAGGCTGTGACAAGTGCAGACCAGTTCTTCCTGAATGTCACATCTTGTGCATTTGGGGCTTGACGAGCACAGAGAAGAGCATATTGCTTCTGTTTTGTCAGATATCCTTAGTTTCTGTGAAATCTGGACCAAAAATAAATCTCCAGAAATTACAAATGACTGGAGACCCAGACTTAGAAACAGTATTTAGTAATGGGATTCCTATAGACTCTCAGCTTTAAAGAAATAATTTGTGAATTATTTTTTTTTATTTAGTAGGAATTGTTTCCTTCCTAAATGAAACATTTTCTAAGTTCTAAATAAAATGAAATCTAGATAAAAGTATTTAAAAGGTTAAAAGTAGACAGTTTGGTAGATTAAAATTATGTTCTGAAACCCAGATATGCAATTTTAATTTTTGTCCACTTCAGTCTCTCAGTAGAAAGCCTACGGACTGAATGGTCACAGTCTGATAATGCTAAGGAGTGAGTTTGTGCCTCCTTCATGAAGCCACTGCAGCACTTAACCTGAATTGTGTTCTCAATGTCTGATTTGTTCCACTTTTACATTGAAAAACAACAACAAAACAAAAATTACTAATGGAAATAGTGTAATATAGTAATTCAAATTTTAAATTTAAAGCCACACTGTTAAGTCATGGACATTGTATCTAAGGGTATATCTAATTGTTTCTGAAAATTACTGGTTTGGGGTGTTTAATCATTTTATGATTACAAAAGCACTGATGATTAGCTTCACAGAAAATAAATTGTTCAGTTATATTTAGTTAGATAAATCTGAAGCAGGAGAGTGTCCATTGGGTAGGTCTAGAACTCACCAACCAGGTCTGTTCCCCTTGGCCTTTGTTTCCGAGGCTACTGATGCAAAATGGGTCAGAGAGTGGTTGAGCTGCTTGAGTTCTGGCATTGTCCAGGGCAGCTTCAGGGGTGTTGGAGAAACTAGAAAGAGAATAACTAGGCCACTTGTAGATTCTGTGCATTTTGAGACAACACTGTCACCAATCACACATTGTTTAGACTGACTATATTTGAAACCATCCAACTTAATCTATTTTTTTTTCTGATAAAATAGTACAAATGTATTGTTTACTTTTCCATATTTTAATATTAATACCTCAGACTTTATATAACCATGACCTTGACTTTTAGGCTTTTGTGCCTTGTCTCTGCATGTGTAGTTGTGGACACTCATGTGCTTAGTTTTTGAGACAATTAAAGGTTTTTGGTTTTTTTTTTTTTTTTAATAAATATTTTGGATTGGAGAGATGGCTCAGTTGTACTTTCATTCTAAGCATGAAGACCTGAATTTGAACTTACTTAATTTGTACATGGTAACATGAGCTATAATACCAGTACTGGAGATGGGGAGACAGACAGGTGTCTGGAGCGTCCTGACAACCAGCCTAGCCTACTTGGTTAGCTCTAAGCCAGAGACTCTCAGAAATGAGATGGGACTTATGAGATGGCTCAATGAGTAAGGGTGGTTGCTGCCCGGCATTACAATCCAAGTGCAGTTCCTAGAAAACCCACTTGGTGGAAGGAAAGTACCAATTCATACAGTTGCCCTCTGAATAAGTAGATGTTTTTTTTTTATTTATAAAAAAAAAAAAAAAAGTAGGCATTCCTGAGGAACAACACCTGAAGTTGTCTTCTGGCTTGCACCCATGCATGTGTGCATCAGTACACACATAACACATACACACATGTTTTGTGAAACTCACACTCAGTGGCTAAAATTTTACTTTGAAAAGTTGTCAATATTTTGTCCTCATATTAAGGAAAACCCAGCAAGCCAAAATTATAAACATGCAATTGGGTTTGTCAGTGCAGCTCTGAGGATGTCCTCTTCATCACCATCCCAGACAGGAAAAGATAGTATCTACTTGGAATATTTCATGGGGTCCATGGGTAAACACCACTGTACTTTCCAGGCCCAGCTCCCAAACCCAGCATTTCAGTGGCAAGAATAACTAGAATCTATGAACTTGATTACTGAAGCCATGATTCTCTTTCTTGGCATATTTGCAAAGAACTATGTGTTTGTCCATGTGGTCACTCAGGCTAGTCTTTTTACTTTAAATCTTCCTTGTAAGTTTCTCCAAATAATGTGACAGACTTTGAAGATCTCCCATGGAAGGTCTCACCCTCCCTGGGGGGGGGGCAGAAAGGGGATAAAATAGAAGATCAGTGGGGGTGGGGCAGGGGAAGGGGAGAGGGAACTGGGATTGACATGTAAAATAAGATTGTTTCTAATTTAAATAAAAGTTTCAGATATGATAATTACAAAGTCAATAGAAATTTCAGGCAATGTATTTTGATAACATAAAATTATATCTAAGTATATGTCAAGAAATTTAGTGTACAGAACTATGTTCCACTTTTGAAGTTGACCAAATACCTTGACAGGATCTTGGCTTTCTTCAGGTGTGACTCTCAGGCTCAACAGATTCTCCCTTGTTTTAAATTGATTGTCCTCCAGTTGGATGCATGCTTTCCATAGGCCTGCAGTTGTGTGCAACAGGTGTGTTGCTTGGAAGTTTATTGGCAGTCATTTGTTCCCTGGAGGCCCCTATTCCTTAGGCTGATAAAACCAAAACGTCAAGTACTGAGTAGGGCCTCTTCTGCACGATTACTTACTTTTCACTAGACCTCGAGAGGGCGCCAAAGCTCCATGTCACTTGGCAGCCCATGTTCTAGTTGCTGAAGAAAAACAGCATTCAAAAAGATGACCTAACACTTTTGATTGAGTAATATCTTCCAGAGCCAAAGAAACTGGATTTTTTTCTTTTACATTCGATCTGGATTAACAAGCACATTCTATAACATAATATACTGTGCAGTCAGCAGTGAAAACCACACTAAAACATGTATGTCCTACATGCATACACAGCACACAAAGCGCACAAAGTACTGAGAGAAAATAACACCGAACTGACTTTTCCATCACGTTATCTAACAGTGATCTTAAAATAGTTTTATCAAGGGAAGAAAGAAAAATAAACATGAAAGAGATGATGAGGTCATTTCTTAAGTAATAAATGATCTCACATGACATTGAAATGATTGGAGGTGGTTGCTTAGCACCTGCTATGTGTTTGGCATTAAGGTGCTGGCATTGTACAGGAGGAAGATGATACCATGCATGGAAGAGCTTCTGCCTCAAGAATTCTGAGCAAAGAATATAAGTTGGCTGCTAAAGGAAGATCAGGCTCTAGAAGCTGCAGCTCCAGGCTCAGATATTCAGGCTATTGCAAACACTCATCCTTCATCAATAAACAAGGCACTAGGGACTCGGGAAGCTGCCTGAGGATTCACTCTGTCTTTATATCCCGTATTTCCTGTGTGTTGTGACTTCAGTGCGTAGTAAGCACCGATGCTGTTCAGCATGAGTTCTTTACTCCACAGTTACATTTGAACAGCTTCAGAGAGCCAGGTACAGGCCGTCCTTATCCTCAGATGCCTAGAGCTGCCATTTCTAGACTTTAGGGTTGGGTCAATTCCTAGAAGTGATGTGGCTTGGGGAAGAAAGCACCGTACTGGAATAAAGAGAAAGCCTTGCAGAGGAACACACTCTTGGAAGTCAAGTACTGAGGCCACCATGGAGATGCAATGAAAGGTGACACCAACAAGAAGGAAAGGAGGAAGAGAGCAAGAGCAGAAGAGGAAGAGAAAGATAGAAGGAAGTTCCAGCTCTAGCTGGCAGAAGGATATGTGGGATGCACTAGAAGGCAGAAAGACAGTTTTTGGCCAACAGAAGGCAATGGCTCAATTATTAGCATAACCAGTATTCGTGTTTACATCTATATAACTTTTCACAATAATTCTACAAAACAGATACCTTGATTATCTGTAATGTTAAAAAAAAAAAAAAAAAAAAAAAAAGGAAACTCAGAAAGAGAAGCAGTTTCCATGCTCAACTCTACCATGCTGGAGGAGAGAGCCTATAGGTCTGTATCTTCAGAGCTCTTTGCTGCTGGCCTTGTCTGAATATGAATTGCCTTGTCCAGTGCCTCTGTTACCTTGGTGTCTGTGGTGAAGACTGGGTGTATCTACAGAGCCACAGCCAGACCTTCTCTCTTTCTCAATTTCAACACCTCATAGTCTGGCTGGAAGCTAAGCTCTCACTGTATTCCTCTGGCCCCAGCTTCTCCTGTCAGTGTGCATGAGAGACACAGCCCATACCCTGCTGCCTTCTTAGAGTCAGTTGAACCTCAACTTTGGGCTGAGCAGAACGGTCTAGAATTAGTTGTACTAGCAAGGCAAATGCCGGGAAACTATAGAGCTATAGGATGAACAGGTGTGGGATCCCTTTTCCTTCCAGGAAAGCTTGGAGTCTACAGGGAAAATAGGAGGAGATAAAAATAGATAATCCAAACACAAGCTTAGTCAGGAGAAGCATATGTTTGATGGAGAGAGAAAGGAAAAGTGGAGGAGATAAGAAAAGAGTAGGGTAAAGTAGAAGGTTGCCCACCGTAAGTCTGGAGGGAAGACTGGTTCCTAGAACTTTTCTTCTGAACTTGGTATGGCACAATGGATTCTTTA